GTGCCGGGGGGGGCCAATCCATGTTGTTTTTTACCCTCTGAAGGTCCATACCAGGCCCCTGTCTAAGATAAGGGTTTGGTATGGGTTTAGTGGGGAACTTCACATAATGTTTTACATTTACAACTGAAAAAAGATTGAGAATTGCTGTCTGAACTATTAGCAGTTACTTCACTTTCTATGTACCTGCTACATCTGCTATTGAACAAATTATTTAATTAATTAATGAAACATGAATTCCTTGACCAAGTTAATGCTGCAATTAACATATATATAGATATATATATATACACAGTATCTCACAGAAGTGAGTACACCCCTCCCATTTTTGTAAATATTGTAAATATTTGATTATATCATTTCATGTGACGACACAGAAGAAATGACACTTTGCTACAATGTAAAGTAGTGAGTGTACAGCTTGTATATCAGTGTACATTTGCTGTCCCCTCAAAATAACTCAACGCACAGCCAGTCATTTCTAAACCGCTGGCAACAAAAGTGAGTATACCCCTAAGTGAAAATGTTCAAACCGGGCCCAAAGTGTCAATATTTTGTGTGTCCACCATTGTTTTCCAGCACTGCCTTAACCCTCTTGGGCATGGAGTTCACCAGAGCTTCACAGGTTGCCACTGGAGTCCTCTTCCACTCCTCCATGACGACATCACAGAGCTGGTGGATGTTAGAGACCTTGCATTCCTCCACCTTCCGTTTGAGGATGCCCCACAGATGCTCAATAGGGTTTAGGTCTGGAGACATGCTTGGCCAGTCCATCACCTTTACCCTCAGCTTCTTTAGCAGGGCAGTGGTCGCCTTGGAGGTGTCTTTGGGGTCGTTATCATGTTGGAATACTGCCCTGCGGCCCAGTCTCCGAAGGAAGGGGATCATGCTCTGCTTCAGTATGTCACAGTATATGTTGGCATTCATGGTTCCCACAATGAACTGTAGCTCCCCAGTGCTGGCAGCACTCATGCAGCCCCAGACCATGAAACTCCCACCACCACGCTTGACTGTAGGCAAGACACACTTGTCTTTGTACTCCTCACCTGGTTGCCACCACACACGCTTGACACCATCTGAACCAAATAAGTTTATCTTGGTCTCATCAGATCACAGGACATGGTTCCAGTAATCCATGTCCTTAGTCTGTGTCAGACGTACCAGCGAACTAGTAGCGTGGTAAGGAACCCACTGGCAGGAAGCGGCTGATAAGTCCAGAAACGAAGTACAATTTAGGGGCAATCCAAGAGAGTAGTCAAAGTCCAGTCCGGGTCGAGGCAGGCAGCGATGGTTCAGAGGCGAGAGACAGTCCAAGGGTTCAGTAATCAGGGAGTACAACGAAAGGGGCAACAGGTAACAACAGGATCAACAGGGAGGCTAGGTGTTCACCATAAGGTGGAATAACTCAGCAATAAGCCAGAGCTCAGGCCAGGTTTTTATAGCCAGGAACCTCCTCCAGCAAGGCCCACACCTGATGACCCTAATGGCGCAGGAGCGCTATGCGTGCGCTTGCGTACTGCGCATCCGCCACGCGACTCGCGCATGCACACCCGCAGCCCGGGCACCAGGAGTTCTACCAGGCTGGAGGGGAACCCGTGCCCTGCGCCGTGCCCGTGGTCCCCGAGCAGAGGTAACACCCTATGCTTTCTGACAGTCTACTTGCCTTCAGCAAACTGTTTGCAGGCTTTCTTGTGCATCTTCTTTAGAGGCTTCCTCCTGGGACGACAGCCATGCAGACCAATTTGATGCAGTGTGCGGCGTATGGTCTGAGAACTGACAGGCTGACCCCCCTCCCTTTCAACCTCTGCAGCAATGCTGGCAGCACTCGTATGTCTATTTCCCAAAGACTCTGGATATGACGCTGACCACGTGCACTCAACTTCTTTGGTCGACCATGGCGAGGCCTGTTCTGAGTGGAACCTGTCCTGTTAAACCACTGTATGATCTTGGCCATTGTGCTGCAGCTTAGTTTCAGGGTCTTGGCAATCTTCTTATAGCCTAGGCCATCTTTATGTAGCGCAACAATTCTTCTTTTCAGATCCTCAGAGAGTTCTTTGCCATGAGGTGCCATGTTGAACTTCCAGTGATCAATATGAGTGAGTGAGAGCGATAACACCAAATTTAACACACCTGCTCCCCATTCACACCTGAGACTTTGTAACACTAACGGGTCACATGACATCGGGGAGGGAAAATCGCTAATTGGGCCCAATTTTGCCATTTTCACTTAGATAGATTTATTTATTTGTCACATACATAATCGTACAAGTATGATATGCAGTAAAATGCTTACACAACTGCAGGAAGGAGGGGGAGGAAACAGGTAAGGGAAAGAATAAAGAATTTCAAATTTACATTGACAAAATAGAATATAAGTATTAAAAATTAAATATTAAAAATTTAATTAGACTAAAAATACAAATGCAAATACAGTATGAAGTGAATAAGTGTGCGGGTGCAAACAGCAGCAATACGGGGTGAATGAAATAAGGTGATGACCAGCAATGTATTAACCATTCTTTTAAAGTGCAGATGTGCAGTAAATGTGAGTGTAAGAACATTAGTCTAGTCAGGCAGTAAAGTGTATGTCTATATAGAAATCTGTGAGGGGTGTACTCACTTCTGTGAGATACTGTATAAATAATATTAAATATATTTTATATACTGTATACAGTATATATACACATATATTACCCGCTAAAGACTCTGTTCTAGATGAAGCAGTAACTGATTTATTAGATCTGGGGCTTTCTTTTTCTTCATCCTGATGACTCTCTGGTGTGTTGGGCATTCCATTTTCTGTATGGTTCTTCGGCTTAGCTAGCTGAACAATGCGTGCACTAGCAGATGCTTTCTTAGCTCCTTCAGTTACCTGCAATAAATATGGAATCACCACTGACGGCAAAACATCTTTTTTAAATCACAATATGCCATATAAGCAGGGTTGGATTTGCTATTAGGCACATGCTTTTAGGCAGCAGAATCAAAGGCAGATTTTCCCTGTATAACTATTGGCCACATATTGCCATCATTAGCTGAAATAGTCATCTAATGTAAGGTTACTTGCACATTATCAGAATATTCAAAGTTAGTTTGAGACCTATTAAACAGAAGAAAGTCCTGTGTAAAAGATGTGATCCTAGGAGGAGTATCAAACTGGTCATACATGCTACGAACATTCATATGAAAAGTTAGTTTGAGACCTATTAAACAGAAGAAAGTCCTGTGTAAAAGATGTGATCCTAGGAGGAGTATCAAACTGGTCATACATGCTACGAACATTCATATGAAAAGTTAGTTTGAGACCTATTAAACAGAAGAAAGTCCTGTGTAAAAGATGTGATCCTAGGAGGAGTATCAAACTGGTCATACATGCTACGAACATTCATATGAAAAGTCTTGTCAGCACATTCAATTATGCCATCAGAGATTTGACCTCTCTCGTTCAAAATGTTATTTGATTTTGCAATTTGATTGTAAAATGAATGGAGTTTGCCAAACCAAAATCACATTTACTGTTAGAATTTTGTTCCTTCAAGAAAAATTTTCCATCCTATTTTCCATTTTTAGTTACTATGGTCAAAAATGATAGTTGATTTGACCCCATTTACTGGAAAATCGAACAAATGTTCTGAAAATGATTTTTTTTTTAACAAACTTTTACTGGTGTATGGCCAGCTTTACTTACGCTGCCAAAAATGGTGTGCCTACAGTCTCAAGCGATAGAAAACAAGCCCTGCATATAAAGCTCACACACCAGAATAAGGATCCTTGTTTTTAAAAAATTAGTTAGCCCTTATTCACATGGATGTGCTTAGCCATACAGCATGCAGAGACCTGCTCCTGGGAGAGACAGGTGCTGTATGTAGCCACATGCAGCCACCTGTACATCTCTGTGACAGGATGCTGCTGCACACAGCTATACACTTATCTGAACCAACACATCTATACAGGTATGGATACACACCCTTGTATGCATGCAGTCTATCCCTCCCGGATGCAGGTTTCTGCACAGATGTGCACGCTGTACAGCTGTGCATGTCCATGTGAATGAAGTCTTATTTTTAGGTTACAGTCAACAGATTTAACATTTACAGTCACATGACTCAAAGCAAAGCTCCTTATCCTGGTGTTAATGCTTTGTGAATTGATCCTATATATCTGCAAAATTATAATATACCACGCACTTACAATGCTGTACACAGATCGGTCTTCCATCCAGTGCTCACAAACACCCTTTGGCTTTGCCAGTTTCTCCACTCGTGGGGAAGGGACAGCCAGCAGTGCACGTGGGCTGACAGGCCACATAGGAGATCTGTAAAATAAAATACAATAAGAGCTATAGTTTTTTCCAGAAATCTTTTTTCTCTAGCAGCATGTTTTTCCACTTTTCTGTGCCCTCCACATAGGCCGCAACAGAGGATACAAACGTATTTCTCCTAAGTCAAGAAGGAGCAATACTGAATACAAAATTATACTGCCTGGCCAAAAAAAGTCACACACTAATATTGCATTAAATCACCTTTAGCTTTCATTACGTTGTGCATTCCCTATGGCATTGTTTACCATAAGCTTAACATATATTTCCATTAACTTTTCACCAATATCTTGTAGTAATGAGCAGTTGGGCAGCTGCATAAAGTCTCCAGCACATCCCAAAGATTGTCATTGGGGTTAAGGTCTGGACTCTGGTGGCCAATCCATGTGTGAAAATGATGTCTCATACTCCCTGAACCATTCTTTCACAATCTGAGTCTGATGAATCCTTGCATTGTCACCTTGGAATATACCCAATGTGCCATCAGGGAAGAAAAAATCAATTGATGGAAAAACCTGGTCATTCAGTGTATTCAGGTAGGCATATTACCTCAGTTTTTGGGCACATAACATTGCTGAACCTAGACTAATTATCCAATGGAAGGCTCTTATTTATTTGTTTCGCTAAATCCAAGTGGTGGCTTTTTTTTGGCCAGGAAGCGTATTTTCCAACCATCTTCCAATCCCTAACTGAGTCATACTGTGCCTCAATCTCTCCCCTTGTATGGCCAACTATAGAAATTTGACCCATCAGCAGTGATTTTAAAAATGAGTTGAGAAACTTCACTCAACAAAATTGTACTTGTGGTCACTATGAAGGATCAATCATGTACCGATTAAATAAATACACAGGAATTTGCTTCCCACAGGATTGGATAACTGAAGTTAATCATTACTTAAGTAAAGATTTTCAACTTCTTTACTAAATCGGCCTCACTGTCTGAAAATTCATATTACATAATACATATTACCTGTCTTCAATATACATGTTGCTCACTGTTTTGTGCTTTGCCAACTCCTCCTGTCGTGCAGTCACACCTGTTGAAAACAATTAATAAAAGAAGACTGGCATGTTGTCTTTTTATGAAATTACATATTTACAGCTTTGTCACTCATCACTTCTGTCAACACATCTGCTACTTACAGGCTGATGACCAAAACTAACAAATATATTTAGCATTTAGACAAAGAGTGTAGGTAAAAGCACAATGTTCTTCCTGCATGTATTGCTTTTGATGTTTCACAAGTAATTGGGCCATGGCTATATTGCTAGGTCATCTGGGTTAGCATATTGTATAACTATAGCCCTGCTTGGACTACACTTCATCACAGACATAACACTTAAAGGGTAACTCCCTTTTAACGACTTCCAGGCCGCAATATGTAAATATACGGCGGCCCGCAGAAGTGGTTATACCAAGAACTCAGCTACTGCTGCTGGTGTCATTTTAAACAGCCAGTGATGGCTGTTAAATGTAAAAACAATCTGGGGTTTATACAGCCGCCGAATCTTTTGTACTGATCTGCAGAAAACGCTGCCCCCACCCCCCTCCGCTGCCGCCGGCTTCCCCGGGCTCCGCTGTCCCGGTGCGAGCCCAGGACCGGCACGGCGGGTCTCCCAGCAACGATCGGAGAGAGATCAGCAGGCTTCCAGCCGCTGATCTCTCCTCCAATCACTGGACAGAAGTGATGTGTATTACATCACTCCCAGTGTCCATGTTTACATTCTCCGGCTCTTAGAGCCAGGAGAAAAAGCTGGGGAACCAGATCTCTGCTTCATCAGCTTCTTTAGGGTCCTTAGGTAATATTAGGGGTCCCCTGATGTCTCCTTAAAGAGGTCCTGTAACACCCTATCTGCTACTACATAGAGGACTTGTTAGCCCCCTATGTGATAGTATCACGTACCTGGTGGAGGACCGATTAGCTGTACAGGCCTCCCTTGCGGCTCCTGTCTCACACCCCTGGATGTGGAAACAGGGAGCGAGTAGATAGAGAGGAGCACAGGTGCCAAAGTGTTCAGACACGGTGCCTGGTAGAAGTCTGGCAACTGGATCCCTGGAAGGATGAGCAGGGCTGGTGCACAGCTATGATGTCAGCAAGGTTTGCAGCAGAAACTGGAGCGAGGTCAAACAAGGCAGGGGTCAAGCCAGACGGTCAGCACGGTACAGAAGGAGCAGGCAGAGGCAGAGTCCAGATAACCAGCAGAGGTCAGGGGCAGGCTGCAATCAGTCGAAGTCAGCAGCAATCCGGGTTGGGGTAACAGGCAACAGATCAGCAGGAACACAAGCACAAGCTGAAAGACTGTTCAGCACTGACCCATTGGGCCAGCTGGTTTAAATAGGAACATCTATTAGAGGGCCGTGAGTCATTTTCTGTGTGCCACTGTTTCACTTCCTGTGTGCCACATTCTGTTGTGGGCGCATGCGTGCTAACGCATGTTTTCGGGCAACCCAGAAGACTGGGACCCCCGCATGCGTAAAGTCTAGCCCCGTAAGTGTATTGTGTTACACTGAGTTGAGTCACTATGTGGTGACCCAGAGCGCTGTACATTCAATGACATACCATTTGACCCTAGGGTCTTTTAGTACAGCAGCTCCCTAATATTTAATATTTTTAATAATTTTTATATTTTAAATTTAGTTTTATACATTTATATTTATATATATATATATTTCATGTACATATAGTTCATCCTATATATCCACAAGCGCAGATTATACATATTTTATTTTATTTAACCAGCTTATATAATGCAATATATTTATTTAGCTGTTTGCCTGTTTATCTTTTACTGGGCATGGCAGTGGTTCCATTGGTGCAAATCATGTTATAGGAGAAAAAAGACTTTGACCCCAATAATGTTATGTACTGTAGTATGTGGCTAACATGAATAGTGCTTTGCTTCCTGACTGTAGTGAATGTAGGAGGTTTGGAAAATGGAGTTATTCCAGTTTTTGCACAGAACTGTGCAAGTATATTTTGGTAGTGATACTTAATGTGCTATTATTTGGCCCAATGGTTAACCAGGTTGAAATCCTCTAAAGAATAGCTTTAACAAACACCCACAAAACCATTTGTAAAGTCACACCAAAATATTTTGCACCATTCACATGGCTTTGAATCGTGGATAATACATTCTAGGTGTATTTACTAAAGGTGTAGAGGTTGTTCACTTTGAAAAGTTTGACTTGATTGGTTGATTTAAGTGATAACAGCTTTATATATTTACTAATCTCAGAGAACATGCACATTATAAGTGAATAGTCTCTATTTCTTTAACAAATCAACCTCAATGTGTTTAGATTAGGTATATTGCCATATTGACATAAAACACATCTATATGCTATTTGATTTTGTATGTGCAGTCTTTCCCAGAGGGATACAAGTAGGTTAGGGTCAGGGGTTAACAAACGCTTGACTTACCACAAATAGAAGCCATTTTTGGTTTGTCCAGCCAATAAACTGATGGCCTGAAAGCAAAAAATGAACATTTATTCTTGTATATATTTGAAATATAGATTGACATGCCAAAGTCTGTGCAATCCTGATCAAAAAACATATTTTGCTGACTTTCTTAGTGGAAATAAGTAGACATAACCTCTAGGGATGCATGATACTTTTCGAGTACCAATGATGCTCCACCACAGTCCTGAAATCATTAGTCTGTATTGTTTTAGAAAAACTGTCACATGACAATAAACAAAAATGTATCAGTACTTGTACTTGTAAGCACTTGGGCAAGTATCAGTACTTGTACTCGCAAATACTGGTAACGGTGCATCCCTTTATTTATATTTATAAAAACAAAATCATACATTAAAACAGAGATGTACAAATCCCAGGAGCTCCGTGTGCTCCTTACAAATGACAGCTGCCTCCTAACGTTTACATTTTTCTCTAGTCTAGTCTTGGAGCTGGAAAAGTATCTGTACATGTACTTGTACTTGTACCGAGTACTGAACTTGGTATCGGTGCATCCCTAATAACTTCTGTAGGTGGCAAACATTCTGACAATGTTAGCGGACAGTGACAATTTATTTGATATTTACCTACAGTTGTTTAATAATACTCAAGCAGAGCCTTTGGAGCACTATTCCTCCCACTAACACCAATGATGGGGCATTATTCCTCCCAATGACACCAGTGATGGGCAGTGGAGGCACCAGGTAGGTGTCACCCGGTGCGGTCGCCGCGCATGCATTATGACATCTGTGGTGTGAAGTCATCACGCATGCGCGGTGAAGTACTGCACTGCTGGTGGCCATCTTGGTGATAGACACCAGCAAAGATAGGAGGGAATATTGAACCGGCGGAATCAGGTATGCCACAGGTTTCCCCCCTCTCTCTAGTGCAGCTGTCGGGTTCTCGGTCTATGACCGGGTTCCTGAGTTTAAGAGGGGGTGACGCCAAAATGACTGTGATTAATTTAGATTACACTCGCTCTAATCGTGACACTTGGTGAGGGTGAGGTGGAAAAGTTTGTAAGCTAAGAATCCATTTTGAATTTGTGTTCAAAAACTCCATTTCGTTCTAAAAGACAGAAAAGAATTTGAACTTGTGACACTCTAAAAACTCTGGCAATCAGCTTGAACTTCAAGTACACAGTCTTGCTAGACTTCCCCTTACTGCAATGCTTAGACCTTATGACCTGTTGGTAAAATAATCAATATATTCTTAAAATGGCATAGTTTTAGAAACTAGACTGGTTTAGTTCTGCAACAAAGACCACTGTATCAGACACAGTTCCTTAAAATGAACATTCCAGTCTGAACTAGATTTCTGCTAAATCAAGTACTAAATTATGTCATATTTGGGAGTGACTTTCTGGTTTTGGACAGTTAACTATCTCCTTGCTGTGACAAATAACTCAATTTTGTTGATTTGTATTTCCGTGCTTAGCCAGTGTAGGATATTGCTGGGATGTGCCTTATTAATTATGCTAATGTTGCTTTTCTTTAGAAATTCATGTAACCTGTTGTGTCGTAGCAGAATGTTTTCTTGACATCCTGCCAATACGTATTGATTATACTTTACTTATGACAGGCACGCGAATCTCTGTTCCTGGTAATTGCAAGGTCTGGTATTCCTGCCAGCACAAGGGCCGAACCCCCCACCCCCCTTGTGAAGCCACTGGTGATGGGACACAATTCCTCTCACTGACACCAACAATAGGGAACCATTTCACCCACTGATACCAAAGAAGTGACATTATTCCTTTTACTGATAATAACAATAGGGCAATATTTCTCTCACTTACAACAATGATGGGGCATTATTTTTCTCACTGACACCAAGGATGTGGCATTATTCCTCCCTCTGACACCAACAATGGGGCACTATTTCTCCTACTGACAACAGCAATACGACACTATTATTTCTTTTGACATTTAGGGCCCGTTCACACTAGATGCAGTACGTTCCGGCCCGATTCTGGCCAGAACGCATTGCATCGCATTGCAGCCGGCTCATTTTTTTGCAGGGCTGGAGGGGGCGTGGTGGGGCCATTGAAGTGAATAGCACCGTAGCCACGGTGCGATCAGCATTTTGATGGCACCGGACCGCAGGCACAATGT